AATAATAATAATAATATAATAATAATAATTTATTATAATAATTACTAATAATAACAATGATATTCCAGTAGCAATAAGAAGTATCTTTCATTAGGCCATGAAATAGTTAATGATGAAAAAAGTGTCTGTACCAAAACTGAGCAAAAAAACTTCTTTTTTTTTAAGTACGGCCTATAGATCTAAGCTTGTTTGCTTAAAAATATTGATACTGCAGCAAAGTACATATATCCTATTATTATGCTTGGATTTGAAGATTTTAGCAAAGGATGGAAAGGCACAGGATGCTTTGACACTTTAAAACTACAATAGTTTGTATATTTCAGGGACGTGCCCATGTTCCTTGAGCACTAGAAAAAGAAATACTTTTACCAGCTTCACAGATAGCTTGTTGTTGCTTTTTTTTTTTTCTCAGATATATTATATATTTTTACATACAAATGGTTAAGAAAAACTTAAAAAGTAGAAATATGAAACAAACAGAATAAAAGGGTAAAATAACTTCCAGACACCTTCTGCTCAAGCACTACCCCTGAGATCTACAAAGAGAAACTAAAGAAAAATTTGAGGAAATACCTCATAATATGTGGTCCATGAATGTAATCAATCTTAACAGGATACAGGGAAATTTAAACTACAACAACTAAAAAATACTCAAATTAACTGAACTTCAGTTGATATGAAACTGAGTTCTGTTATCAAGCATCAATATTAAAGTTGACCTCCCATTCACAATATTTGCAACCTCATTTTGTGAAAATATTCCTAGTCCGTAAATAAACAAAGTTCACGTGTCTTGCCACATCTTTTGTAGGCAGAATATACAATATGGTGTTGCATGGAATATTCAAAAAACAATACTCCACTTTAGCATTATTTTTTATACATAACTAAAATATCCATGTCTTTCAAACTCAAAAACAGTACAACAGTCAATGTATACTCTTTTTTTAATAGAAAACTAGGCCTATATTTCAGCTGCTCCAACGCTTCTCTATCATCTTCTTTCACAAATCACAACAATCAGGAAATAAGAATAACTAGGAAACTATAAAAGAAATATAGATATTTCAGTAAGCTTTTTCCTTTTAAGGAAAGTTGCCTAAACATATATATATATATATATATGTATATATATATTTATGCATATGAAGAAACAGGAGCTGAAATCATAATTGACACCTTAAAAAAAAACATATAGAAACAAGATCAACGTACTTAACATGTGTTAGCTGGAATAGAAATCATTTATATGGAATGTATCGCAATTACATTATCAAAAGAAAGGGCACTATCTATATTCATAAGATATGAGTCAAAATGCTTCCATACAGACTTCAGCATGTTCCTTTTTCGTACAAGTTTGAGAGAAGCTATATGAAGATTGTCTCGGTTATAATTATAAATATCATGTAAACAATTAAACGTTACAGATTAAAGGAGATTCTTTATGTTATCAACCCAAGTGACAAACGTCCATTAGCTGTAAAAAGAATATCGAAAGAAAACTATTTCTAGAGTAACCTAGGTCCCATGATAATTAGAAAGTATGGTTATTATTTGTTTGTGTTTTCTCTAAAGCTACCCACTACATGAGTCCAAACATAAGTAAGCCATGATCACATATCAACTTAAAAAAACCAATAGTAAAAAAAGTGATAATTAATCCTCCCTGTTTATGTTCTTATGCTCAACAAAATACTCAGTCTCACCATTCCACATAATGCACAACACAGTGCAATAGCAAAGGAACAAATAAAAAATGCTGCTACATCAGTTATAAATGTAGTAACAGTCCCTAGATCTATACCAAGAAAGATTTTGTTCTCTTTCAAAGAGAAGATAAATAATTTTCCACTTTGTCATTGAACCATCAAGGATCTCTTTAACAGTTCCCATGGGTCTTAAAATGAAAGCGTTCCTTGTAAGCTGTCATGACCAGGCCAATCTTTAATAGTAACAAGTTTAACTACTCTCTTTTTCTTCAAGCGAGCACAATGCCTACTACTGAAGCACAAAATTTCCATGTTGCTAAAAATAGGCATTCTATAAACTTGAAAAGCAAGACAAGAATTCTCAAAACTTTCTGATTCACGAGTTCAAGATAATACTAAAATGGCTGCTGCCTGGCGATGGAGTGAAAAATGATGGTAAAGGATTTCTGGCCGGATCAACTCAATTCAGATCATTTATGAGGCGGGTTGCATTGGTCCTGCCAGTCAGGGCTATTATCCTAGTGGTAGAGGATGCTTCGTCCCAACAGAATGACAGAAATACTCATTGTCAAAATCGAACGCGTGTCTTTTGCATGTGAGGCGAAGAGCATCCCCATTACACCACAGGCACCACAGTGGAATTAACAGGAACAGTAAAAAAAAAAAAAAAAAAGAAAGAAAAACTATAAATCTGAAAGCATCGGCTCCTTCACTGCACATAATGACTGGATCATATATCTCAGATCATTTTAAACAATAAGAGACGACAATTATTCAAAGCTGCAGGCTATGGTAACTTTCATCCAGCACAATCACTGATTATTTTTTTCTAAATGACGGAATCAAAACTGCCACTATACACTGCTCACACGAAAAGATAAAGGAAATCCACAGCAGACCCTTCCACAAAAAGTGAATGGAACTAAACCAGTATTAAACGCACATCGACAATAGTTTTTTTCAAAACTAAAGAATATGACACAAAGATCATTTCACCCCATTACATTAAAAGTAACAACAGTATTATTTACTGTTTCTTCATATCAAAAGGTTCAAAAGATGAAAATAGCGTCACTTTGTCTATCAGGATTTAATGGAACTTGCATGTAACATTTCCCTTAAGCATTCAATGTTCTCGAAAAAATAAAGAGCCATAATAGTGAACTTTGCCAAAGTGTATCATTTTTCCTTTGTATCGATACTCAGTAAAACAAAACGTACCAGTATTTAAGAATAAAGAACATTACCTAAGAGGTACCTCCACTTCCCCCTTTACCTTGAACTTCCACCCTT